CGGTAGGGCAATCTCGGCTCACTGCAACCTCCACCTCCCAGGTTCAAGCGATTCTCCTGCCTCAGCCTCCCGAATAGCTGGGATGACAGGTGCCCACCACCACGCCCGGCTAATTTTTGCATTTTTAGTAGAGACTGTGTTTTACCATATTGGTCAGGCTGGTCTTGAACTCCTGACCTCAGGCGATCCACCCACCTCGGCCTCCCAAAGTGCTGGGATTACAGGCGTGAGCCACCACGCATGGCCCATTCTATTTTTTTCTGTTTTATTTTTGTGACAGGGTCTTGCTATGTTGCCTAGGCTGGTCTTGAACTCCTGGGCCCAAGCCATCTTCCCACCTCGGCCTCCCAAAGTGCTGGGATCACAGGCATGAGCCACCGCGCCTGGCCTTGTTACATCATTTTCTATTCTCTGTGCATATAAAATAATCCACAGGGGGCCAGGCACAGTGGCTTATACCTGTAGTCCCAGCACTTTGGGAGGCTGAGGCGGGTGGATCACTGGAGGTCAGAAGTTCGAGACCAGCCTGGCCAACATGGCGAAACCTCATCTCTACTAAAAACACAAAATCTAGCCGAGTGTGGTTGCACATGCCTGTAATCCCAGCTACTCAGGACACTGAGGCACGAGAAGGGCGTGAACCCGGGAGATGGAGGTTGCAGTGAGCTGAGATCGCGCTCCTGCACTCCAGCCTGGGTGACAGAGCAAGACCCTGTCTCAAAAAAAAAAGAAGAAGAAGAAAGAAAGAGAAAGAAAGAAAAGAAGGAAGGAAGGAAGAAAGAAGGGAAAGGAAAGGAAAGGAAAGGAAGAAAGGAAAAAAAGAAAAGAAAGAAAGGGAAAAGAAAGAAGTGAGGCCGGGCGCAGTGGCTCACGCCTGTAATCTCAGCAATTTGGGAGGCCGAGGCGGACGGATCACAAGGTCAGGGGATCGAGACCATCCTGGCCAACACGATGAAACCCCGTCTCTTACTAAAAATACACAAAATTAGCTGGGCGTGGTGGCGGATGCCCGTAGTCCCAGCTACTTGGGAGGCTGAGATAGGAGAATGGTGTGAACCTGGGAGGCGGACGTTGCAGTGAGCAGACATCACGCCACTGCACTCCATCTTGGGCGACAGAGCAAGACTCCTTTAAAAAAAAAAAAAAAAGAAAAGGAAGAAATGATCCACGGTGAACAGAAAAGCTGGGTGAATCCCGTGTGCCGCTCCCCCTGGAGGTGATGTCCGAGGTCCTCCCCACAAGGTACCCCCATCCTTCGGTCCCCGCACCATGGATTCACGCAACGTGAATCCCACTGGCCCCTGGGGGTAGATGTGAAAAATGGAGCTACACCATGAGCAGGCCTGCAGTCCCGGCACTTCCGGAGGCTGAGGTAGGAGGATCAGTTGAGCCCGGGAGGTCGAGGAGGCTGCAGGAAGCTATGATCGCACCACTGCACTCGAGCCTGGACAAAGAGCAGGACCCTGTCTGTAATAAAACAAAAACAACACACACAAATCCCCACCTCACAGAAGGCCCCATGGCCCAGATTCTGAAAAGTATTTTAATTTTTTTTGTAGAGAGGGGGTCTCACCATGTTCCCCAAGCTGGCCTCGAATTCCTGGGCTCAAGAGATCCTCCTATCTTGTTTCCCAACGTGCTAGGATGGTAGGTGGGAGCTACTGTGCCCAGCCAGCCCTGACTGTGTTCATCAGAACCTGCCCTCAGTGAGCAGTTTGGGAGGGGGCGTGTGATCCAGGCTCCGCCAACCCAAGGCAACCTTGAGACTTGGCTGGAGTGATGAAGAATTTTAGGAGGGGCCCATTGAGCCACTGGGTTGAGTATGGGGTCTCTGGAAGCACACCAGGGGAGCCTGGTTAGGAGAGACGCCATCAGAGAAGAAAGGAGAAGCCAGAGGCCGACACTGGATATTCTTCAGGCACCTGGATCAAGCCACACCTGAAGGTGGCCTCCCTGAACTTTCCATATAACTTTCATGATTCAGGCTCCACCCAGTTTGTTTTGGTTTTCCTGTCCCTTGTAGCCAGTCTTCCCAGCTGCCTCTGCCTTGGCCTTTCCAACATTCTATTTGTCAGGACGTCAAGCCCCAGAGGTCACAGAGACAGAAACAAGGGTGTCAAGTGACCTTTCTATCCCCATCAGACCTTCTCTCTAATTTGGAGGAGGAAGAGAAGAAGCGGGGGTAGCAGGACAAGGAAGTGGGTTGTTTACATGCTGTGGCCTCCAACTAGGATTGTGAAACAAGGCTCGGAGACTCTGTGTCTGGTGAAGTTGGGGCCAGGGGGCTGGGGTGGGTGCAGTCCCCCTCTCTGCCTCCCACCCATCTGAGGGACTGCCCTCCACCCAGGGCCAGCAGGCCGTCAGGCTTACAGAGGCCGGAGGGTCTCCCAGCGACTTGTGGACTCCGGTGTGAGTCTGGCAGGAGGTAACCCAGTCCCCGGGAGGGCGGAGGCTGGGCGGGCGGGTTCCCTTTTCCCCAGCTGGGCCGCTGCCCACCCCGTGGACAGGGCCCCTGGGAGCCTCCCGCCCTCTCCACCCTTATAAAAGCAGCCCCAGGGTCCCGCCTGGGTCAGTGTCTCAGCCACAGCGGCTTCACCATGCACAGCTGGGAGCACCTGGCAGTTCTGGTCCTCCTAGGAGTGGCCGCCTGCGGTGAGGGGGCCTGGGCCTGGGGTGAGGGGCGGGGTGTGTAGGGGTGTGGGCCAGGTGCTCCCCTTGGTCACACGGACGGTCCTCCAGCCCCTCCTGGTGGGCAGGAAGGGGGTGTCTCTCCTCACCAATGGAAGGCTCTGAACGCTGAGAAATTCTAGAAGATTCGGACTGGAAATTGGCACTTGCTGGAATCAGCTTTTCTTGCAGACAGAGTCTGATGTCTGCGTGGAAAACGGTTCTGCCTGGCTGACTGGGCTGGCCCGGGCACTGGTTAGCTCAGCCCTACTTCTCTTATGTCCAACTGGAAGGCATTGTGCCCAGGGCGGGGGAGCTGGGATCTGCCCCCCATCCCTGGCCCACTGTGGGTTCCGTACTCTGGGGCATTCTGGCCCACGCATATCTGAGTTTGCAACGCGGAGGGGCCCCAAGACGGAGATGGAATTCTTTATTTTCTTTCTTTCTTTTTTTTTTTGAGAGGGAGTCTGGCTCCGTCGCCCAGGCTGGAGTGCAGTGGTGTGATCTCGGCTCACTGCAACCTCCGACTCCCGGGTTTAAGCGATTCTCCTGCCTCAGTTTCCCGAATAACTGGGATTATTGGCCACACCGGCTAATTTTTTGTATTTCTTTTTATAGTAGAGACGGGGTTTCACCATATTGGCCAGGCTGGTCTCGAACTCCTGACCTCGTGATCTGCCCCTCCCCCCCCACCGCCCCTTCGGCTTCCCAAAGTGCTGGAAACAGCGCCCTGAGATGAGATTCTTGGGGGGAGCGGCCTGCGGGGGTGAGAGCTGGGATCCCGCCAGGCGGCCTCGCCCGGGGGTGGAGTCCACCCCGTGGCCCTCACACGCCCGCCCACCCACAGCGGCGCAGCCCCGCGGTCGGATCCTGGGCGGCAGAGAGGCGGAGGCCCACGCGCGGCCCTACATGGCGTCGGTGCAGGTGAACGGCGAGCACCTGTGCGGCGGCGTCCTGGTGGCCGAGCAGTGGGTGCTGAGCGCGGCGCACTGCCTGGAGGACGCGTGAGTGCCCGCGCCGCGCGGGGGAAGAGCTCGGGTGGGGTGGAGGGACTCGGCTGGCACCGACCGCGGACTCCGCCCGGTCCCCAGGGCCGACGGGAAGGTGCAGGTTCTCCTGGGCGCGCACTCCCTGTCGCAGCCGGAGCCCTCCAAGCGCCTGTACGACGTGCTCCGCGCAGTGCCCCACCCGGACAGCCGGCCCGACACCATCGACCACGACCTTCTCCTGCTGCAGGTCGGCCCGGTGTAGCGCAGTCCCTGCTGAGGCGCTGGGACCCCCGGCCC